TAAATAAAAATATTTATAATACATTTACTCGTAATATGGTGAGTGTATAATAAAAATAAACTTATTGTTTTACTCTTTTGTATTTTATCATCTATATTAAGTATTTACAATTTTTTAATTCGATTATTTTTCGAATATCTATTTAATTTGAAAACCTATTGGAATTTTTATTTTGAGTGTCTATCTGTGATACTTGATAGAACTTTGTGGAACTTGATCGTAAATTATATATAATAGCACGAATAAGCTCAACACATGTTAATTTTAATAAAATATTTTTTTATAAATATTAAAACATTCTATGGTATTGTATATTTGTAAATGTTTTATTTTATTTGTACTTATTTATTTGTATAATATCATTAAGCATTAAAACACAAAACCGTTACAAATGCGACGTGCATATTAAACGAACATCAGTGCTATTATAATTCATAACAAATCTAGTAGAAAAAAAACAATTTTTTTATAATGACCGATACAGTAATGCGTTTTGACGCAGTAAAAATGTATAATTTGATACGGCTAAATTAAAGAGTTCTAATACATTACGTGAGGATTGCACCCATCAATGCCCCATCACTAAGATGACCATATATTTTTCTAGTCAAAACGGGACACAAAAAGAAAAAAATAATAATTTTGATTGAAAATAATTTATACCATATATCCATATTGATAAATCGTTCGCCGCAATAGATATTTTAATATTTTATTAGTATAGTTATATTCCACATAGCCCCGATTCCGTTCAACGTCAACCATGCAGTAATATAGTATATACACATTACATGCACACATAATAGTTAAATAGAAACAATGACTCATAAACAGATTAAAATTCATTATCCTAATTTTTACTATTTTTAAAAACGGGACATTCTAGTGTCCCAAATATTTTCCTAGGGACAACGGGACGAAGATGCGAAAAACGGAACGTATGTTGACCTTAAATTGTATGTTCTTATTATAACACAGTTAAACAAATATTCAATCAAATACACTTTTGTTGTTATTATTATAAAGTTTTTATAAACTAACGAATAAATTAATTATGTGCTCTTAATTTAATATTCTTGTGAACTATTATAAACTTAATTCCCAATATACTATATATAGTATATATACATATATATATATACCTATTTATATAAACTCATTTAATTATGCTTTTGGTTGTAGTGCTACTGGTATATCCGGTGTTGTATTGAGACAAGGCTCCGAGTGTGCATAATAAAATGATTATTTTATAGTAGTTTATTCATTGTAAAAAAAAAATATTAAATATAAACACACATAATACTTAATTAAAATCAGGTATATCAGAAATATTTGATACGAAAATTATAATTGTATAGTAAACATTTTTTTTTGTTTTTTTAATTGTTACCCATGCTCGTTATTTATCGCTCATATTATTATATTTTAATAATATTCACTTGCAGTTTATTCTTGTATAAATCCACCTATTGGTTCCGTTGATAAAAATTGAGTATACTTTTGTACTAAGGTTCGCGGGTTAAAAAAATATTAAGATAAATGCTTCAGTCGATTCGATTGCATTTAATTCATTACGATTTTGAATGTGTCAGTGGTGTCGGTAGTTTTCTCTATGTCATTATGCTTTGCGGTACATTATGTAGGCGATCGTTATATTAGCTTGGTCTCTGAAAGAATAGGGATGACTAATAGGAGATTCTCGAAGAGTATTTATTAATATACCGTTCATAAGTGTGTTCTGTTCCTATATCCTGTAGGATATATATATATATATTTGTTACGGGTAATGTTAACATTTGGATAATGACGACATTATCCGGCTAAAGTCGACATTAGCCAACTGTTATCATTACCCGCCATGAATATTATTAAATTTTGGCTCATATTAACATTAATCGGATAATATGATATAAGCCAAGAACTTTGGATAATGTCTTAACAACCATAACAATTTAACGTGCATGAGATAAAATCATTGTAAATCATTAACAATATTAAATATATTTAACATACAATAAATTATATGTACATAAGTACAATTTCTTGAGTCAAATGTTTGCATTTTTTTTTTATTTCTGCCATCATTTGATGTTTATCACCATGACCAATATTAAGGTGTATCTCATTTAATATGTCATATAATTCAACATTTTTTACGTAGTATAGTAAATTAGTACTACCTTTTTCAACAAGTGCTATAAGTCTCTTTTCTCCTTCGATATTAATAATTTCAAATTTATTCAAACGACGAGATTTATTGCCGCCTTTCAGTTAATAAATTATATTCAAATATTATTCATTCGACAAATAAGACGAATTATCTTCTCGTTTTTCAGACAACAATTTCTCAAATAAATAATAAAACTCTGGTTTTGTTTCTATTTTATTAAAAATGTAATCTAAAACACTTTACAGTTTAACACTAATAACACTGTACTTGCAATTATCACGTGTGATAACTGAAAGCAAACTAACAACAGATCAATGCGTGACGTCGTATTTTGTATAGCGCATATAAAATTATAACAAAAAATTACGTTCAATTAAGATAAATATTAAACCCATATATCGATATATTGTCCACTTTATCGGTAAGATAACTGACTAACTCGGTTACAAGTCAAGATAAGATATTATACTCTGGAAGTCCGACGCTTTATTATTGTATAGAATGCTAATAAAAACTCTATAGTCTATTTAATCTACAACTGTTAACATATCCAATATATATCCAATAACATATCCAATATTGACTGGTTAAGGTTAACATAAGTTAGCATAATGTTAATAATTCCTGCTTATAAACGAAAAAATACACATTAGCCATAACAGATGGCTAATGTCGACTTTAGCCGAATAATGTTAACATTACCCGTAATATATATATTTTATAAGATCGTATATTATCGATGATGCTCACGAAAGTCTTAAATCAAATGACGTGTCTAGTTGAAACACATATTATTGCACCCCGTTGTGATCATCACTTATAGGATTAGTTTGAAACAATATTTAGCGACCTTCTTCAATCACTATCAACCCATAATTATTATAATACAATATTATAATATATATATTATAATTGTAGGTATTGAGTATACAGCTATTCTAGTTACATATATTTTTGAATAGAACACAACGACTTCCAAACAATGAAATTGGAGCATAGGCGTAAATATGTGGTATTTAGTGGGGATTTGCACTCTCAATATAACAAAAAATTACACAATAAGGGTCATTTTTTTATTGTAGAAATTGGAATAATTAAAATTTTTTTTTTCAAAACCTCAAATTTATTGACCACATTATTTTAGTTATTTTATATATTCGTTTTGCCATTTGGTGATACGAAAACAATTTAGGTTCTCAAAAATGAAATTCTAGTTGCGCATATGCATTTAAGCCGGATTTCGTTGAACATGTGCATGCATGCTTTTGTATATGTATATAATTTGCGTTTACAAAGTGTATTTTGAGTAGTATTGATGTGCGGATTTAAAACCCATAATGATATATCCTGCTGTATCTACACTTATTTTCTCGTGTGATTATATATAATATTGGCGTCTCATCAAACGCACTCTGTATATATATATGTTTATTAATTTATACTGTAAAAATGTATGTTGTGGTCACAGAAACCGTAAAATAAAAATGTACAGTGGACCAAATATGTAAACCATGTGCGTTTTTATCTGGTCGGCGGGCAGCGAACATGGGAGTAAGTTTTATAAAATATCGGATGAAAATCGGATGTAACAACGCGATAATTTTTTAACGTCTGTATTTATATGTTGTATAATAATAATAATAATAATAATAATAATAATAAATAATATCAATATAGGTACTCATACACTATTGTATAGAATTCGCAGTTTTCGTATTTTCAGTTTGTTTTTTCACTTGTAAGTATAGAATTTTATTGTATAAAAAACAACGTAAACATGATTGTTATGTTATGCGCATCTCGTCACCATTAAAAATCTATTTTTCATAAGTTCAATTCTATAATGTTTAACGGTTGGTGTGTACGGATTTATTATAATATATTATACTGATAGCATATCAAACAAATTAAATTTATCATGTTATATGAACTTTGATATAATTTTACTTGAAACAAATCAAATATTTATTATTATAAATTAATTCTCATTAGTACGCCAATATTGTAAACTTTATTTTTATAGTAAAATATTTAAAATATCTATTACCTCTATAAAACTTTATTTATCATGTTAAACAGTTTTTGCATATAAATAATTATCGTAATCATTTTTATTTTCTATTATTAAAATTTGAAAATTATTTATTTTAATGTTTATATCATTTTTATCACCCTTAGCAATAATTGTAAATAACTGCATTTTGTGCGTATGATGAACAATAATCAGGAGCGGAACTAGGGGGTGGAAGACTAGAATTCATCCCTGAGCGTAAAATTTTAGAGGGTGTAATTTTTGTAATTATTAACAAATAAAAATTTCTAGTTCCACCTCTGCCAATAAGTATTAACATATTATAAAATATTTTAATTTCAAAAATGTAATATCAAAATGAATGTTAATGAATCCAGGTTTTCGGGCAGTTTGAAAACTATTGTTTTCTTTTATTAATAAATAGACATACAATAAGTAAAAATTAAGACCATCAATTATAAAAATAAATATAAGATAATAATATGATATCATAACACGTGAAACGAATAATTATACGAATATTATATTTTTCATATATGAATATGTTATATTTAACATAATAAGTAATAAGAGCTGTATAAAACAAAAATTTAGTTCATCATTTTAATCATATTTATAAAATATTAAGTAATAATTTTCAATTTTTAACAATACAAATATTTAAAAAAAAAAATCACTGAAAAATATATACTTGCATGTGCTAAATGTATACAAACAGAATATCAATAATTTAAATATATATAAAAAAATTCATTAAAAAAAAAACAGTGAAAAAAAAAATTATAACAATTACAATGCTTAATTTTGTTGCAAATAATAGGAAACAGTTTTTTTCACTTCGTTGATAATAAGTAAACAATTTACAACAACAATGTCTTTATAAATAGATTCATCTGAAAAATAAATTTATATTTGAATTAGCAAATTTTAAATAATTACATTTCAATAAACCAGTACCTATTATGAAAATAAAAAACAATTATAACTTACACATAAGTTTATCAATTGGAAAGAAGGAAAGTAAGGATTTTCCCTGCTTTTCGACAATTTCTGTAATATTTAGATTCTTAATATGTGTTTTTACATAACTCAAAATAGATATTAAGTCATCTATAAATTTGTCATTCTTTTTTGAACAAAATATAAAAGCATGACCCATTTCGTTAGGTTTGAACACACCGGTCTAAAACAAAATGTTATATTATATACAATATTGATCAATCATTATATATGTATTATCATTATAAAATAATTAATTTTAATTACCTTAAGAAAAATATTAACAAGCACATAGAAAATACCAACATTAACTTGAGAAAGCAATGGATAACCAATTAACAAAAAACTGTCAGAAGCCTCAAGTTTTTTCAATGATTCTAAAATTGAAGTCAGAGAATCTAATTGTTTTCTGCTATTGTTTATACAATCATTGGTATAAATCGATGTTACGTCACAAACTATCAATCGACCATTGACTGTTTGCTTTGGTATTTTAAGCCGAAAATATCTGTAATACATTAGAGAAATAAAATTAAAAATAAAATTATACAAAATTTAGAAATTAAAAACTTACTCTTTACGCTTAATAGGGGTTTCTTTAGGCATAGTAAATGATGATCTTGCTCGATTGCTATAACCAATAAGTTCATTTGAACAAAATTTTGAGTTACGAATAATAGAGACAGGCCTACCCATTTGCACAGTCAAATTAGATAAGTCGATTTTGGCATCCTATATCAAAAACAAAACAAAATAACAAACTTACATTTAGTATTATGTATTATCAAATTATTTTCATGATTCTACTCACTTCTTTGGTAAACCATATAATTTCTTTATCATATTTCCATGGAAATTGATTGAAACTATTTACTTGATTTTGAAGTAATTTAGCTTCAGCTGAATCTTGGCATTCTATTTTACGCAGTTTTTCAGTAAATGAATAATCCATTACAGCCTTTGTTGTTGAAACTTTTGGTAGATCAAATTGAATGGCCTGTTCAATAATAAATAATTTGATGTTAATGATAATACATAATTTTAATTTTTGTTCAAAAATTAATTTAAATAAATTATTTATTTATTTAGAAATTAAGCTTCAAGTAGGTAATGTACAAGAGTTTGTAGGCAAATTTGATAAAAAATTAATGGCAGAATACAAAAATAAAAAAATTATAAATCATACTTGAAGTTTATTTAATCCAATAATTTTCTGGGAATGGTCAATTGGTCTTATTTGAAATTTATCGACATATGTTTTAGCGACACAATATTGTAATTCTGTTAATGATTTAATATCATTTGAAATATTTTGCAAAAAATGTTTAATATTATTCTCAATAACTTGAATTTGTAGTTCACTAAAATACTTAGAACATTTATACACAGATAGAAGAAAATCTTTAGGCAACTCTTCCAATGGAAACAAACAGTTATCAGACAAGGCTAAAATTATAATATATAATTGTTATAGATTATTATAATATAATATTTAGTAAAACTTACCACGATTAGAAGTTAAGAAAAATGTATGTAACAAAGGTTCTACGTATTCTAATCCCTTAAAACCTCGACAAACAACATATACCTCAGAATTCCCTTGTTTACTTGTAACTGGTTTTTTTATTTGTACCGAATCAAAAGCACAACATAATAAATACATTCGACATAACGTATTACACTCAAACATAGTAAACATTTTCAGAATAAATGTACCTCCTGTAATAATAATTTAAATTAGTAAAAATTTAATTATTTTATTTATAATATTTTTATAAAAACTGTAAGATTAAAACCAATAAAAGTTTTAATAATACCTTTTTCAAGTATCATTAAAGCAACCATTGTTTCTACCGTCTGCAAACGTGTGACTATATTTTCCTGATCATCCGGATTATCTTGACAATCCATACTACCATCAGCTGTTACCTGAATATTATATAAATTACATTATAATTAAAAAATTAACTATTAAAACTAATGAATAATTATTTTCTTACCAAACTTGCTTTTTTGCCAAAACGAATTTTGATATGAGTGCAAAGATCCTTATAGAAGTATTTTTGGAAAATATCTCCTGTTTGATCCTGACCAAAAAACCAATGACTTATTGTATGCAATATGAATCTATCATCATTAATCATATCAGGTTCACCATTTCCTTCATGATATGGATTCAATGAAACACCAACCCAATCCCACTTAAAAAAAATAAATAAAAACAGTCAGCCAATGAAAAAATTTAAAAAAAATTAAATATGATTACTTACTTCGACATTTATATCTCTGCTATGAATAAAATGGTTTAGAGCAGAAATAAATGCTCCTGGAGCTTCACATAAGTGAACACTGTATAGTTTACCATCATCAATACTGTGTTGAGGTATTATATCATTATCATTCAATATCTCATAAAATTTTAACCAAGCTGTAGTCAATAGTTCAGGACGGCCAGCTCCTCTAACTTTATAAAGAACTTTATCAGCTGGATTCATTTGTTTGGTATTTTTGTGCCATTCAGCCAAGTTAAAATCATTAAGTTTATCTTTGACGATATTTAATGATTTTTTTAACGTGACAAAAGCTGGTAACTAAAGAAAAAAAATTAATTAAATACTTAAGTATATTTTTATTTAACAAGTGTTTAACTGGAAAGGGATATCTTTTTCTTTAAATTATTTAGTTAATGTATACATCTACTAATTATTCTTAATGAGTTACTAAGACAAAAATGGTGAGTATTCAAGGACAGTTTATTTTTATATGTTCGCTAACACTCTTTTAATGTTTTTCAAAGTTTAGCACTAGTTACGTTATACAAATAATAAAATTAAATGAAGTAAGATACACTTCTAAAAATCTAATAGCATTGCAGATAGCCATTAAATTGGATAATCGTTAATGTTTCAAAATATGATAGTTCCAGTGGGAGTTTAATTCATACAGATAATTAATAGTTAATGGTTAAATCAACATAAGTATGTATTTTAAATCATAAACACTGTAGTATCTGTAAATGCAGTCTCAAACAGAGTTTGGACACTAGAATGAGGTTTGATAAGTTTAGATTTATTATATTCTATATCTAAAAATGTAAGGGTAATTTAATTATAAATATTGGTATAATCATTGATACGTGTTTATTTACCTCCCATTTGCTACAACTTAACATGGTTTTTAGTTCAGGTAGCACCCACTTGTTGGACGTGGGCATTGTAAACTGTTTTAAAAACAGTTGATTCACAATAATATCGATTTTGCTGTTATATTGTTTCGTGTTTTTAATCGTGTTATATTTTGAGTTCCCATTTGTGGTATTGTTAAATTGGTCTTCATATTTAGCCATTTTAATTAAATAGGTTTTATTTCTTGCTATACAAAGCTTGCAAAGCTCACAAAGTTATTTATTATGTGTATTCACCTGCGGGAAATTCAAAACTGTTACAAGTTGTTGAATTTACAATTCAATGTTTTTAGTACGAGACTCGTGATAATTGGCGTGTTATATTTTGTGTTAAAAAAATAAGTCAAATTCCAACAAAGAAATGCATCAAATAGACGCATCTCACTTCAAATATATTTCAATTATCAATTACAAGTACTAATGGATTTTTGACTGATTTATCAATCATAATAACTTATTAACTTATTATTATTATCCAAGGCTGGGCAATATTTTTTTTTTTAATTCAGTTAAGTTAAGTTAATTAAGTTCACGTTCAATTAAGTTATTGCACATGAGAATTATGTCAATGAAGTTAAAAATATCGTTAACTTAACTTCAATGAATAAGTTAAGTTAATACAAAAACAATTATTTACATTAAGCGAAGATATAAGTGATATATATATATATATATATATATATATATTATTATATATTAATAATTTACAACAAACCTTATTTAACATTAATGATAATGAAAATGCAGAAAAATCTTATTCGACTCTAATTAGAGAATTTAGAGTAGACAAATATACATTTTTTCTTTAGAATTGTTTTTAAGCACTCAAAAACAAGAAAAACACTCAAACTTATGTATGGTTTTTTTTATTTATTTTTTATACAAATCACATATGATAAATATAATTTAAAAAAGTATTCTTTTTAATGTTCAATAAAAGTATGAAAACTAAAAAATAATTACTGCAGCTGAAAGTGTAACTATAAAATTATACAGGTAATAAATATATATAGTAGATACAAAACATTAAAATAAAAATATAATATTTTTTAACTTTATTAAAATCTAAACAAATAAAACAATACAATGGACAGGTTAATCAAAATACCTGTTGAATCTCAATAAAAGAGTCATCTTAAAATGTTGATCAGCTATTAAATTTCTTCTCTTATTCAATAATATTTAATAATATCATAGGTTTTGGAATAATTTTAATAATAATTGTATTCTATATTCAATGATAATATATAATAATACATTATTATTATTATTATCATTAATATATTATTATTTTTATTAAATATACGATATATTATTATTATTATTAACTTCTCATTTTGGTAGTTGAAGAAATTAATTCTATTAATAAGAAAAATAGGGGTCTATGAAAAACGTAAACGTAAGATAGGGAAGAGGGGAGTATACACTGTCTAGCGTATGCTGAAATGAAGGTAAAAAATGTTTAAAAATGTGCTGATGTAATACTTGAATGTTCCTAATGATAGAAGCGATTGAAAAATATTGCAGATGTCTATGCAATGTATATGTATATGCATATGTATATGTATACGTTCAATTATTCCTTTAGGAATCAGGTTTATAAAACTTAAGTATATTTTTAAAAAACTACAAAAAAAAATGTTATTTTCTTATTTAACTCTAAGTATTACAGTAGTTTCTTATACATTTTTTTTTACCATTTCATTGTATGAACTTGAAAAGATTAGAAAAAGGTTACATTTTCTCACCTGATGGTCTATCAGCTCGATACGAGTATATATATTCATTGACTATTTTCAATGACTGCCAACTCTGTTATTCAAGTCGACATATTGATCATTGTCTTGCTATATTGTATAAATAGACAATTGACAAGTAAGAATGCTTAAACTTTAAACATTAAGTTTAAATGAAATTTTTAAAGTCCTCGGAAGGTATAAGAAAAAAATCATATATATCTGCATACAATTTCGTTGTTAGTGTGATAAATATCTCGTAAGAAATATTGTTAGTTAAAAACTAAATTTGAAATCGTCATAGCAACGCGTCATTGTTGATAGCCAATAATCAGTAATGTGTGAATGATTTATTATTTTTTTTTTTAATGATTAGTCTTAAATGAACCGATTGAAAAACTAAAATATAATTTTTAATACAATTAAAAAAAAAAACACTATAAGAGTCGATGCCAAATACTAACAATTAAATAAAATAATGAGAATCTTATGTCATTACTGAGGGTATCGTATAACACTCGCTTTGCAGATTATGTAAATATAATTTGCTACAAATTGTCTTTATAAAAATATGTTATCAGCTCAAGAATTTTCAATCGAAATGAGGAGATATTATAATTAATAATAAATTTAATGGATTGTGCTTATAAAGCTAAAAATATTACAGGGAAGTTTTAGGAGTTATTAGGTCCTACAAATAATTTTTAACTCATTACCATATATAGCAACGTTTCCCAAACTATTTTCTGTTGGACCTTTTAGAAATAATAAAAATGATCGCGGACCCCTTAGTACAAATAAAAATTAAAAAACAATAATAAATAATAATACTTTATATATTTTAAATTTACGTTCGCGGACCCCCTCCGGTATACGTGCGGACCCCTAAGGATCCGTGGACCATAATTTGGGAAACACTGATATATAAGAAAGTTTTAAAGTTATAGGAATTTGATAAATCATTAATGTAATATTAAGTTGTAAAAAAATATAATTGTTTTGGAGATATCTCCTTACATTACCACGTTGAAAACAACACTGATTCCGCTCATATATATGCTACAAAAGTTTAAAATGTGGTTGGAATAGAGTAAAGTATTTTTTTTTATTATTATTATTATTATTAAAATAAGTCTCGAAAATGTATTATTAGTTAACAAAATGTTTCTAATATTTATATAAACACGCTTTAATTATAATGTAATAATAATGATAATATTTTTTACAAGATAACAACTACATATAAATATACAATTTAACATTTAATTATTTTAACCTATTTGTTTTAAACAGGAGGGTATTTATTGGGGGCCCGGGCTCCCTCCGAAATGAAAAATACCATTGTTAAAGTTTGTTATTTTTAACATGGATATGTTTTGATGCTGAGGGTTTCCGAAAATTTGTCATGACATTGAGAATGTTGCTTATGTGATAATTTAAAATTTTATATTTATAAAATATGTTTATTCTTTTAAGAATATATGTGGTGAAATTTAATTGACTCTAATAAAAAAATTGTTTATTACAATGTAGTTTTCATACTTTAAAAAAATTATAAATTATTAAAAAAATTGAGTTTTTTATTTCTTTGATAGTGCAAAGACAGTCGAGAAGTCTTACAGTGTCAAAGTAATTTTTGGCGTAATAGTGTGCTTCCTCCTTCCCTTCCCCCAAAAATCAAATACAAAAACTGCCCCCTCCGAAATAAAAACTTATATATGCCACTGCCTACTATATAATAAGTTCCGATAGTAACCATTTTATTGAAAAGTAAAAATTATAAATGCCCATTTATTAATTTCAATAAAAAATTTGGAAAATGACCTACAAACTATTTTGAAAATGGTTTAATACAAATAATAAGTTGTAATTTGTACAAAGTATGTTATTATACGTTTCCTGACTAGTGTACTGTATAGGACGATAAATATGTGGTTAGTGTAAAACTGTATTAACATATTAAAATGTATATGATTTGATGGTAATTATTGAAATCTTGCGTGGTGTTTACTACATTGTGTATGTTTTTTTTTCAAAATTAAGCTCCTTTCTTACCGTTTCTGTATTTGAAATACAATACTGTTTCCATATAAAACCTACTATTTTTATGGAATAAGAAACCAGAAAACCGAATGTGGAATGGACTCGAACACGTTCACCTTATCAAACGTATTTAATTACTGCGTAACGTTAAAAAGTATATTATTGTTGTAGGGTCCCACGTACCTTACGCGTATTTAAAAAGTAAAGAAAAATGCGTCATTCGAACGTAGATACCCACGATATGTCGCTTATTGTACCGATTTATATATACGTATTCGTGTATCGGGAACTCGATGGTGCGATGCTAATTACTGAACAATTAGAGACGTGAACAAACTGCGCAAAAACTCTACGCTGCCGACGACCATAGTTGAAGTAGGTAACAGTGGCGGAACTAGGGGGTGTAAGACGGGGATTCATCCCCGGGCGTAAAATTGTAGAGGGTGTAGTTTTTGTATTTATTAACAACTAATTTGATACTTTTAACTTTGTCAAATACCGATATCAGGTTAATAAAAACTCAATAATTATGATTGTGTGTATTGATTAATAGAAAAAACGTTCTCGAGAAGAGTGATTATCGGTCTAGGATGGGGCGTGATCATAACGTTTTCCCCTTGCGTAAAAATCCTTAGTTCCACCTGTGGTAAGTAACATAACTTATTACTATCAAACTACAAATAAAAATCGGAAACAATTTAAAGTTTTTCGAAACACGTAAAACCTTACAACCTATATTTCCATACGCACATGTAAATTGCCTTTTGTACTGTATTTTGGTCGCTGTTCACTCAGAATAATTGACCGCAGTAAACAAGCATACGTATCTTCTTGTTCGACCGCTGAACCTTGCTGCAATTTCGGTTCTCGACGAATGAAAAATAAAAACAAAATAATTACAACAATGTTGCGCGTCACGTCGCGCTCGTACGTACCCGTAAAACACCGGTACCGTACACGAATTCGTCAAGGTGTACGCGCGTACCCAATACCACACTCCCATGATGTACCAGCTGCAGTGCGTAGGCATTGTACCAGCCGTACACCATTACGATGTGCGCGCGTACGCAATCGAAGTGCTTGCACGTACGATTAATGATAATAGTCGCCGGCCGTCGCCCTACATCCGAGCGGGGCGACGGCGGCGGTACGTTCGTGTTGGACCGGTTCTCGCCGTGACCTTATAAGCGACGCGGGTAGAGGCCGCCGCCGCCGCCGCCGAAGATATCAGGTGCCGATGATAATACGCTCTGGCGCGACGTCCAGTCGTATCGCAGATTCCGTTACGACCACGCGAACCCGGTCTCCGTCCGCCAAACGTATTGTCATCGGTGTGCTCGTGTGCTTGTGTGTTTGTGCGCCGTGAACGTGTACTGCACGCGTGTGTGTCCATCCCTCTCGTCGTCCATACGATGATCGCTACGGCTGCTGCTGCTACTCCTGCCGCCGCGGTCGCGGTGCATTATCGCGACGGCCAAGAACAACTGCGCGTGCCCGGATCACCGCAACCGTACGCGAGTCGCGTTCGCGGGTCCTGGCGCGATTATCTAGACCCGCCGGACGACGGGTGTTGCACCGCAGCGGAGCTGCTGGCCGACGACGATTACTCGTACGGGGACGGCGACGAGGACTGCGACGACGACGACGAAGACGATGACGACGACGATGACTCCAACTCTTACGATTGCGGCTGTTCGTGCTGTTCGCTGTGTTCGTCCGGTGGCTGCGACCGCCCCGGGTTCCGTTGCGGACGGGACACGCCGTCCGCATCCTCGTCGTCCTCGTCGTCCTCGTCTTCCTCGTCGTTTGCCGCCGTCGCCGCTTCACCGTCCCGGCGACGCGTTGTCGGCTCGCACGTTTTCGAACCTTCGATGCGCGGCTCGTGCTATTGCATACGTTGCCAGAAGCGCCGGTACTCGTTGGACTTTTTCAAAAGCACCGATTTCAGGCGCGGCATTCCCTCGCCCAACGTGTTCATGATCGATGAACGGGCGTGCAAGATCGTCGACGATTACATACACGGTAATGCAGCCATACCTATCGTAATTGCACTTAATCATACATACATGTATACGATCCAGTAGCGTAGTATCGGGGATAAGGGGTTTCATCCCCTCCCCAGAATTTTTTTTTTAATGATATTTAATTATTATTTATTAATATTATATTTTCATTTTATTGTGATTAGGTATATAATAAAAATTGAGAAACAAAATAATTTTCATTAAATACGGGACATAATAATAATAATAATAATACCATTTTAAATGTAATATATAGGACCTCGTATTAAGATATACTAAAAATATTATGAATGTACTCTTAAATACACCCCCTCCCCCAGAAAAAAATTGTATCTACGCCACTGATATGATCTATATATTTAGAAATATTTTTACGTACACGGGCGTGCTTAACAAATTGATTACCACTGACTTAGATCCAACGGGCTCTGTTCGACACTCGAATAACTTAAAATATCTTTAAAAAAAAAGTCTTTAGTACGTCGTGAACTTGTTTTTCTAGGTATTATCTATTAAACTGCACTAGAAAAACTTGCAGCCCCTATTTAAAATTCTAATGCGATTTAATTATCACCATCCATGCAGCTTCCGTTGACCTTGATCACTATCTCATCCTAGACACTTGGTTAAAGGTTGTTTTTTTTCTTTATAAAAGTTACGAATTTTCTATTGTGTATACACATACTTGTGACCAATGCTCAAATTGGGAGGGGGCGGGGGGGTGCGCAGGGGGACGGAGCTCCTCTACTATTTTTTTTTTCTGCGTACCCCAACTATATTTTTTCACCGAAACGGGGGGACACCACGTTCATTCTAATTGATTTCCAAAATAATTTTTATATGAATTTCAATTTACATCAATTGGAAAATTAATTTTACGATTTATAATATCAAAAATATCAAAACTATTTTTATAATTAAAGATTATATGGTGGTTATGATAAGAGACAACATCGTCATTTCTGGAAAATATAAATAGTAATGTCTGTGAATTTGGTGTACTTTATACATTGTACGGTTTGTTATTAATATTGGCGATGGACGACGTCATTTTGGAAAAAAAATAAATGCCTTCACCACGACCTTAGATTAATCTTCTAAGGCCATGGTCTGCACTAAAGAGTAATAATAAATAAAAAAAAAAACCAAATATATGATTATATCATTCGATTCATGAGACTACCTGATCGCCTACAATTACCTATGTTAATTATTATTTTATTTTTATTTTCTATTGTAACATATAGGATGTTGGTATTGCTATCAAAATATATAATATTTGGAATTTAAATATTTGTTTAGCTGAAAAGTGGTATTTAAAATATATTTAAGGTTGGTGGAGGGGGGAAGAAGGACGAAGCCCCCCACGGGTCTATGTCAAATAATTGCACACGTGGAACGTAGTTTTCAAATCGTTGGACTGAGCTCCTCTACTTAATTTTTTCCAATTCGAGCACTGCTTGTGGACCATAAACTATGAAAATGAATGTTGTTTGGATGTGTATAAACAATTTTTTTATACACTAAAGTAGTTTTAGAGAATAAAATCATTTAAAACTGATTGAACATTTATTAATACTGCATTGTTAACATTACATTTTGAGAACTAAATTATAATAAATACGAATTTGTTTTTACGACTATATGAGGCTCGTTGAAAAATTGCTCTTTAATATCTACAACACTGGTGTTCATTTCTTGAACAACAGACAATAGTGGATAACATTCTGTTATTAATGGAATCCACTATTGAGAGAATAAAAAGTTCCATTATTTTTTTTTTGTGATACGTTCGGTTAAAATACTCTAATGTCTGTTTAAAATGTAATCGTTTTCTTCTCAGGTTCCCGGATTACCCAGTACAATAAGATCGAATAAAACTCGTGTTGAGATAATGTAACATTTACATATATCAGATGGAGTAGATAGGTACTAGTAGGTACCAGTGTACTTTAAATATTCGTTACACAATTACAGACTTACGTTTCTGTTGTTAAAAAGTGACAATAAACGGGGTTTTTTTAGTACGTATATTCACAAATGAAGTTAATACGGTGGGAGGGGGTGTATCGTCGATGAAAAAATTTCGTTCTACATTTACGTTTTCATTATACGCTGTATTTATCCTTTCAGTTACCATTTTTTGTTTTAGAATGTTTTACATGATTAGAGTATAGAAAATTATAATTTTCTAACTAAAAATTGTATGAAAAAAATAAAAATATTTCGACCCATTTCTATTTCGATCTGTACCTTTCACGTACATATTTAAAATTTTTTTTATAAAGAAACAGTTTTTATTTCCAAATATGAATTCATATTTATACACGTGTATAATATACATATAAATATTGGAATGACATAACTGTCTGCGATTTCCGTTATTTTTTTTTTGACCCAAAGAACTTTTAATAATTTTTTGCTTTCCTATATTGCAATTTTATTCATAACGTATCCGTGAAAGTAATATCAGATCATATCAATTTTCGCCCTCTCAGTCGGTCAATGGCTATCGGATACCTACAACACATGTCTACCTTTATTGTGATGAGTTAACATTTAATCATGAGGTTTTGGTGTCATAGCTGTATCGTAATGCGCAACGCATATTTACATTAGTCTGTGACCTTTTTTTTTAAAGTCTCCAACGGTTTTTTATTCATATCGAGACATGATTTTCGTACCGTATTATCAGTTACATTCTTCACGTGCATTGGTAACGAAAATCGTTAACATTCACATACGTTCAAACATTAGATAAATATTGAGTAAATTTATTATAATTTATTTAGATGATCTGCATGCTTATTTACGTACAATAAACTTACATATTTGTGTCCCATTAAAATAATTGATTTTTTTTTTCACTTATTTATCCGTCGTCTTACGCATTTTATAATTTTATGTTGACATTCTTGTGTTAAATAACGTTTACAAACGTTATCTGTTAAAAAAAAAAAATATTTCTTATGTTTTTATGGTTTCATTTTTAATGAGTTTTGCTATTAATTTTTATAGCTCGTTTTACACGGATTGTTTTTGAATTTTAAGTTATTGAATTATGTATAAGACATTTATATTATTCATCTCAATATTACATATATTTATCTCACTAAAAGCTATTAATTTGTTTCTATTTTAGTAAAAAGTATTTATGCATGGTTATTTTTTTACGAGAATTTAAGACATCGTTAAATATACCACATTATATTTTATCAGCTCAAATATAGGCGTATACAAATACGCTTCTATGTAAACATAGATTCTATAATATTCAATATTTCTATGTAAACATAGAAATATGTGGAATACAAATAAATCGAATTAATATCATGAATTTGAACTTAGATTATAATTAAATAAAATAAAAATTAATTTAATTCAAAACTTAGATAATCAAATATAGCAGAGTTTTAAGATTAAATTATATATGAATAAAATATTATACTGATCCTATTTTAGGTACTTAGAAAAAATGATTACAACTCAAGTTCTCTTTTTAATTATATTATATTTCGTGTTTAAATTATTTTTAATATTTTATTAGGTTATGTATTTTATAGTTTAGGTCTAAAAAATAATAGTTTTAATATCATAAACGTTTACATTTTATGTTTCTTGCCTTTAATTAGAATAATTTATTGTCTTTTATGTAAATATATATTGTCTAATAATTAACATCATTATTCATAAGTGCTGGGAAATTATTTCTTAAGAACATTTTTAAATAATCACTATTTAAAGAAGATAATTTATTATGTTTTTTGATAAGAGATTCAATTATTTACATACAAATTGTTTTTGATTATTAATCAATAAACACCACACTAGATGTACTTAATTTATGTTCAACCCATTTTAATAAGAATTACTTAAGTTTGTAATGTATTTAAAGATTTACTTGAAGTATTTGAACAACACGTTCATAATATAAATATAAAAAGTGTAATACAATACGTACGTAACGCAGTCAAATAGGAAAATATTAATTTCTCACTAACTTAATATTTAACAGTTACATTATTTCAAGTTAGTATTAATATCTTACAGCAGAGTTCAAACGAGATTTTTATAGTTATTTTATGATTTTTCGCCAAACTACTTCGAAGGTTTGAAATGTATATATATATATATAAACACACACACACACACACACACACACACACACACACACACACACACA